AATGAAAGAGAATTGAAAGACGCACGAAAAACATTTGGAAATGTGACCAATAGCCTCACCAGAAGACACCTTAATCAACGTGTTTGGATAATGTACAATGAAGTTTGACAACTATTGTCAAGTGTGTTGACCAAATTCTTCAGATTGGTCAGGAGCATGCACGCACTAGCTGCAATTGTTTTTGTGATACCATTTTCGTCAATTTTACTCGATCCTGATTAATTAGCGAAAGAAAATCAGAATTTTCTTTTAGTCGATGCAGTTGAGCAATTTAATCCTAAAAATTCCTTTTTTGATATGTTGTCAAGGCGGGTGGGTATATACACACTAAAACTGAATACAATTACACGCATTCGTTACGTCTTAAGGAACTGAAGGATTAAAGATTGGTTTTCATCAATGACGCCGACCAACCGCCGACTCATTGACGGTACACAACGGATTTTACTCGTGAGTAATCACCGAGAATGGAACTCGTCGAGTGTCCGCGTGATATGGAAGCCTGACTTTAAGAAGCTACAATATTGGTTGGAGACGAAATTTACAAAATCGGGCCTGCAAAGATTCTGTTGAAAATTCCGATGATTTCAGCCTGCATGGCTAAGTTTGGCATTGGTTTTATAATAAAATCATGGTGACACAATGGTTATTAAATTTTTTTACACTTAAATTTCTTAAAATTTAATGCCAGCATGTTCTCTTCCTTACTGTATATTATGATTGTGAATTGTATGACACCCGATGTATAAGTAAATACATCTTATATTTTTAAAAATTTCCCAACCGCTTATATAGCTAAGTGAATATAGTTATAAAGACACAATTTTATATGCCATAGTGTTATCATCTCTTCTCATACAGCCAATTACGAACGAAAACCGCCCACGGCCCACAGGATTGGATCGATCAATTTTCAAACATGCATAACTATTCCTCTGCATGCAACAAACATACATCTTCCATAGTTACAATACGATATAAAAGACAAGGGGGGGGGGGGGCAAGGGGATGGGGGCAAATGCCCCCCGCCCCCAAATTCGGAGGCCTGGCGCCGCCACTGACTATATGCATCTGCCTAGCTGACAAAGCCAGAAGAATATTAAGCTTGCGTGTCTCATTAATTAT